TATGTCTCAAATCCAGCCCGACCTCCTCAGTGCGGCTGCCCTGGCCTTTGGGAACCTGCAGCAGCTCCTTCTCCCCTGTCTCCAGCTCCCAGGCAAGCCCTGCCTGCAGGGAGTGCTCCAAGGGAAAACCTAATTTCTCCCCTGCTAGGGCAGGAGGTGGCCTGCTAGAGGCAGACTGGCCCACAGAAGAAACATTTACACATGAAGCTGCTCATTCCAGCCCACAGCCAAAATAAAATGCTGTTTGGCAGGAAGGAGAAGTCCCTAGCCAGGCCCTCACCAAAAAACTGTGACCTAAGAATTCAGTTTCCATAGCAAGTGACTGTTAAACAGGTTTCTGCTAAGATCTTAGCTGCTGCTCATCCAGGAAGCCCCAAATCCTTTTCCATCTCCCAGTAGCCAGTGCTCTGATGAACCAGACCTCAGACTTGTTCTCAGGATTTCCCCATCCTGGGTGAGCTTTGCATTTCTGGTGGTGATTTTATCTTGTGAACTAAAAATAAAATCTCAAGCCCCTGCTAACTGAACAGACCCCCCGCCCCGTGTCAGCCAAAGGGACCCCAGGACAAACCTTAAAACTAAGTTTCCAGGCATGACAGGATAGGAGGTGTAAAGGACAATTACACATGTGTGTTTTCTCTTCATAAATATTCATGACTCCACAGCCACCCTGCTCAGTATAAAATACCGTTCCTTTTTATTTCTCCCTTGAAACACATGTTCCTGGATTATGGCTGGGGCAGTGTTTCCCAGCTTGCCAGAATGGCCACTGCATTTAAAACCACGTGGTTTTTTGGTTGGTTTCTTTTTTTTTTTTTTAGTTGACAATCTGGTTCTATTTCCCCAAAGCTACCCATAGACTCACTCCCTATCTCCACAAACTATTGTCATTGGAGCACCTGACTCTCCCTGCGGGTCAAATGCAGGTGTTGATTTGCCTACTAACAGGGCGTTTCAAGTTTACAATAAGAGCTATCTCCTAGTTATGCTGCCAGGGTAGTTTATGTATGGTTTTGATTTCCTTCTTGATTTACACAATTTATTTGAGACAGTGTGAAACAACTCACATTTAGATGGACTCCTAGAATTTCAAATTCACTCTGGAAGGGTATTTTTGCTGGACAGTCTCTAGGGTGACACTTATATTCTTTTAACGCATTGAAGATATCTTCTTGCACTTTTGTTGAAGAGGTCTTTACTCAAATAAACAGCCATTCTAAGAAAATTATCTTTCTTCTATAGCTTCAAGAATTTCTCTCTGTATTTAGTTTAATTTATTATGAGGGATTTACACATAGCTTTCTTTTGGTTTATTCTCATCAGGATTCCTCTTGAATTTCTAAATTGGTGTATTCCAATAATTTTGGAAAGATCTGTCGTTCTATCTTCAAATTCTCATTTATTCTCTCTCTTCTTCTATGATTTCAAATTGCATTAGGCTTTCTAACCATATCCTCTGTATCTCTTGCTTCCTGTATTTTCCATATTCTTAACTCTTCATGTTTTAATATGGCTATTTTCTTTCAATCCATCTTCCAGTTCACTAATTTTCTCTTTAGCTGTGTCTAATTTGTTAAACCTAGCCACTAAATTCTTATTTTTGGTTAGCATATTTTTCAATTCCAGAAATCCTATTTGGTCACTTTTCAAATCTCTTATGCAAAACTGTACAGCTTCCTATTCCCTGTAGCCATATCCAAGCTTCTCTTCTTTCATTTCTTCATACACATTCCAGTAAGGATAACAGTTAGAAAAGCGCAGCATTTTGTGGGCCTGTTTCTACTATCTGTTTGTTTCTCACATAAGGAGTCCTGAAAAGATTTTATTTTGCTTCTCACAAGTATTCTGGGAAACTCTAGTAAAGAGTCAACATAATTGAGGTTCAAACAATCCTGGTCCTCTCAGGTAACTTGAACCTAGACTGTAAGACTTTATGAAAGCTATATCACTTCCACTCTACCCTGATATATCACTATTCTGGGTCTCGGAAGGTTTATGGGCAATTCTCAGATCCTCTATCCTGAGAAAGCTAGGGTTTGTCCCATTCACTCCATGAAGATGACAAACCACCACTCACTTTGGGATTATTTCTTCTGGATCAGGAAATGCCCTCAGAATAACCGTAGCGTCAGTGCTGGCATTCTTGCTGTAGGTCCCCGCATTCTAACCTAGGAAGTTCTTGATATCTTGACAGCAGTTCAAATCTTTAAAAGAATTTATTTTCTTTTTTTTCTTTCTCTCCCTTCCTCTCCCCCTCTCTTTTTATTTTGCTTCATTGGCTGACTTTAAACAAACAAAGACTTATCTAGATATTTTAGTTGTCTTCAGTGAGAAACTTGGTCCTAATTATCGAGCTTGCTACTACTTCAAGTGGAAGTTTCTCCTACTCTCACCTGTTCCTTTAATTTCATATTAAGTGGCTCTAGTTGTCATCTCTCGTTCTGTGGGAAGTTCTACGATTTCTGCCCCAAAGATGGCAGGAAATTCCCTGGGCTTGCAGCTCTCTTCACGTGCCGCCCGGCCCCTGCACACACTCTCGAAGGCCGGTGCCCCCCCTCCCCTCCACGCAGCTTCCATTACAGACACAGCCCTCTCTCTCCACCCACTGCACCTTCGTGTGTACATAGAAGACTTCCGCTAAAGGTTTAGAGAACACAGAGAGGGAATACAGCACTACTCGAAACAGGAAATACTGAAAAGTGTTTCCCCACGCCCTGCCACAGAAGATAAAAGAGTGATGCTGCCTGTCTTGTGCTCTTCCCTCTCACTGCCTCACTGTGCTCCCTGCTGCCCACCCCGAGACATTGCTCTTTCTCCATCCCTCTGTCCTCTTCTGTGCCCTATCCTTACCACTCTACTGCTAAAACTCTAAAATTGCTTTAACTTTACTTTGCAGAGCAACTCGGGTCTTTCCTAAACTATTCCCTTCTGGGCCATGTCCATAAAACCTCACCTCTTCTAATCAACAAGTCCATGAAGGTGCGTTCCCTCACTAGAGTGCCAAAATTTTCTCACGTGAACGCTGCCCTTCCCCTAGAATGCAGAAAGGAAGCAGAGGTTTTTATTTTTAAAGGAATCTTTTTTTCTTAGAATATCTTCTGCTCTTAATAAAATCTTTATAGCCCCTACAAAGGTTCCAAGCCCACAAGTTCTCTCTCCGAGGGGTGAGTGGTGAAGCAAAAGCGGGGGGCTTCAGGTGGCTGAGGCCCAAAGATGCTTCTCCCAAGAGGTTGCTGAGGGATGACCACCAGTCAGAGTCCAAACTCCATAAATTCTGTATGTTTCCTGCTTTGAAAGTCTGAGCATTCTCATTTTGAGGCCATCAGAGAAATTCTTTAAGGTTTCATTAGAAGAACAGGGACTAACGGGTTATACAATTTAACCTATTACACCAACAAATCTTCTCTGTTGTGAAGAACTGATCCTTTGAACAAAAAATTGTGGGATAAAAATGGCCTACTCAAATGCTACGCTGAAAATATGATTTGCTAAAAAAGTACAGATTTGGTGGGGGCTCCTTTGGTTGTTGTTGCTGGTCTTTTAAACAATCATCCAGCAAACCTGCAATGTGCTTCTTTCTAAACCACAGCACCAGAGAAAATCAATTCGAGTGTTTCCCAAACTGCAGCACTGGAACAAATGAGCACTAACCACAACTTCCTAACCTCTAAGAAAATATGGAATATGCCTTCTAGGGGACACAAGAGGGAACGAAGAACCTGCTAGGAAAGTGTAATTCACATCTACTGCAAATCATATTTCAAAGAACTGAATGAGGCCGGGGAGCACTTGTGGAAGTGCTGGCAGAGAAAGAGACCCAGCTGTGTCCAAACAAGCTCTCGCTGCGAAGTAGACAATAAATGTACATAAATGCACTTTCAGAGGCAAAAACCAGAATTTTGAATAGACAGGTTGGAAAGTAGCTAAATAGAATACTGAATCAAATAAAGTATTGCTGGAAGAACTGTATAAAACTTCTTAATGGAGAGATTAGGTAATAACCATCAGATTCAGTCAAGGAACAAAATGTGGTTTATAACCCGTATGACTCCATTTTGTAACATCAGTCCGCAGTCTCCCAAAGCAGGTGCCTTTCCTTGAAGGCTGATGTCACAGTTTTCCACGGCCAAAGGTACAGCGAGGGGAGAGGGGCGGCCAGCTGCAAGCGCTCAGAAGCCTATGGCCAGGGCCGAGTTCTCAACAAAGCGCGATTCTCTGTGTGTTCAGCGAAGTGCCTGCCAAGCTCGCACAGGACTCCTTATGAAAGAACACGCCTCCTTTCCACACCCCATCACTGACCAGCTGGGATCGCAAATACGGGGCTGGTTCTGCTTGGCATCGCTTTGTTAACGCTCTGCTCATTAATTTAGCGAACCATCGGGAGAATTACGCCTGGAATGGGCAAGCATTATCTCCCAACTTTCATTCAATTAAACTCTGCTATTGCCGTATGACAGTCAGCACATCACACGAGGAATTATTTTAAGGACGAAGGTAAAAAGTGTTTCAAAGCCCCCGCTTAAATATGAAAGCATAATCTAAAATTGCCTGAGCACACACTATAATTTTTCTGTAATATTAAAGATGTTATTTCCATACTTGGTAATTAATTGGATTCCATGGAGAAATTATTCTAGCATCCTTGATAGAAAAATGATGCACCAAGGCAGGGAACAGAGCACCAAAGGACACCCATAAACAACCACTGTCGCCCAGATTATGACAATCACAGGGCTTAACGAGGAGTGAGCGCTGCCTGCTTCTGGGACATGCTCATTACTTTCCTGCAAAGCCAACGCACTGAATTCTGATCATATCGCCATGGTAAAAAGGAACGAGGGCAGCCCGTGCTCCAGCAGCCGCCTCGGAAAGACGCACAGGAGTGATCCCAGGCAGGCCGGGGTGCCGCTGGCTGAATGAGGACAGCATCCTGTCACGTGAGGGCTGGGGGGCCACGGCCCCACCCTCAGAGAGCGGGGCTACTCGGGAAGCTGGCTTACCGTCAATGCGGCTCACGAGCTCTTCCAACATTTTCACTTTCATTTGAATCCCAGGTTGGGCAAAGGTGTAGTTGTCCTAAGGAAAAAATAACATTGTGTATCACATGCATATAAAACAAAACATGTTCTAAAGGGGGAAAAAGGCAGAATAAAAATGAACAGTTTTATGATAGAACAAATTCACAAACTGACAGATTTTATCCTGAGAAACACAAGAACACACGCTGCACGGCAGGGCCCGCGCGAGGTGCCACTGAGTCTCCCTCTGAGAAGGGGAAGCCGGCACGTCCTGATGTCAGAGGACGAGCAGACGTCAGGGGCACCGAACGGCACGTTTCCATCTGCAAATGTAATACATCGACATCGAAATTGAACCAATCGGCACCCACACTTACAGCTCACTGAGTGCACCTGTCTGCAGGAAATGGCCACCTGGGTGGCACCTGGACCGCAGCACTCAGCACTGCCGGGAGCCCGCAGGAAACGGCGGACATGCCTGGCGCTGGCAGTGCCAGCATCCTGCCCACGGCCCGGTGCTCATGACACAGGCACTGCATGGGGATAAAAGGTAAGCATGTGGCTTTACTCACGGAGATGTAACTAGGTGAACTCAGGCAAAGTTCATAAACTGAGACAGGAAAATCCGTGGAGCCTCAAGGAGGAGAGGGCCTGGGCAGGTTTAAGCCAAACGGACCAGGAATGGGACTCCGGCTCCATTATTCAGGAGCTGTGCGACCTTGACAAATAACATAACCTTTCTGGGCTTCGGTTTATCATCTATAAAGTGAAAAATAACAGCACACTGCCTTCTAGGGCTGTCCAAAGCTTCAAGGAAATCATGCAGGTAGAATGTGGAAGAGGTGGAAAGATGCAGTAGGTGCTCAGGCTCTGACGGGCTCTCTCACTGCTGCCGTCACCACCCGAGAGAGCACAAACATGCTGGGGACCGTCCCAGAGAGGACCGACACCCTGCATCAGCCCATGGTGGGGACGCACAGAGCGGCTCCTGTTGGTCGGGAAGAGGAGGGCATTCCCCACAGAGACTGCCCTGGGAGCCTCAGCCCGTGCTCAGGGGTCACCTCCAGGAGGTGGCTTTCAACTGGACACACGCAGCAACAGACCTAACACACTCGAGGACAGTGAGTGTGGAAGGCAGAATGACAACCACCCCCCTAGATGCCCACGTGCTGATCCCTGGAACCTGTGACTGTGTCACCTTAGGTGGCAAAGGGGAACGTAGGTTGCAGATGGAACTAAGGTTGCTAATCAACTGACTGAGACAAGGAAATGCCCCTGGACGATGCAGTGGACCCACTTCAATCACGGGGTCCCTAACAGTGGGAGGGGGGGGCAGGAGGCTCAGGCACAGTGACATGAGAGGGACTCGACCTCCACTACTCACTTCGCTGGTGGAGGAAGCACTAGGAGCCGCAGGACACGTGAGCCTCTAGATCTGGGAAGGCAAGGAATGGACCTACCCGAGCCTGCAGGAGGAATGCAGCACTCTCACCTTGAATTTAGCCTCAGGAGGCCCACACTAGACTCTGACCTTCAGAACTGAGATCATAAATCTGCGTTGTTTTGGACCACTAGGTCTATGGTAATTCCTATAGCAAGTCTATAGCAATAAAAACTAACACAGAACTTCAGAGGATGTTCTTTACTGGGGCCCCTAACGCCTACCAAGAGATGAGGAAAGAAGAGACTGGGAGACACCAAAGTAAAGCATTGTGTTCTTATGTGGACCAGGCTTAGGCTCTGAACTCTTTAGTGAGCAGACGGGGCCTCTGGCCTGGCCAACACTAGGAGACTAGCTTACAGCAGCTCTTTCCCCAGACAGTGACACTGGGGAAGGCCTCAGGAGCCCTGGCATGGGGAAGCCAGGCCCCTGGCTTCAGTGAGGTCACGAGTAACGCAGCCTTGGTCTGGACAGGAGGTGCTGGGCGCATGCAGCTACAGCTCACCAGACACACTGAGCAAGCCCTTGGTCACAGCAAGCAGAGTCACTGCGGCCTTTCGGATGGGGGGGCAACCCTGCTGCCTGCCTATCTGAGGGCAGTGGCTGGGGCTGGGCAGCACGGGCAGCTGCAGACACTGCACCCAGCATTCAGAGCCAGGGGGAAAGCAAGGGACTGTCCTGGACCCGACGTGCCTCATGGGTAGGCTCAGGACTGGAAAGCACTCAGAGAACGACACTCCTGGGGGTGGCCGACCTTGCAGACGTGCCCACAGAGCTTACGGGACCTGAACGTGGAAGGAGGATGACAGAGCACACGGCAAAGTTACCAGCCCTTGGGAGGCCCTGGGGACATGGTAAGAGCACGCAGGGGACCTCCAGCTCCAGAATCCGGGAGGGAGACCCCAGGTGAGACAAAGTGGAGCTGCGAAGACAGCCTTCAGGCCAGCAGCAGTTTCTAAGGCCGCAAAGTCAAATGTGAAAAGTAGAAACGTACGTGACAGTCTTCACTCCCTAAGTGTTTCTCCCTCCCTCCCCGTCTCTCGCACACACGCACAATGACATTTCCTAGCAAGAGCAGGTGCAGCAGCCACAATGGCACAAAACTAAAAATGCCTACAAGGCATTGAAGATTTTTTTCCCCAGAAATGGAAAATGAACAGAGTCAAATGTGCCCCCTTGCTGGGAGATTTCTCCCAGGTGGATTTCAAGTGACAGGCTCTGGATTCCAAACTGTCACATCTCCGCAAGGGTAAAAGCAGGAAGAGCTCCGTTTGCCAGCTTCACTTAGAATGACGCCCAGGCCCTACCGTGATTTCGGGCGGAACGAAGGACGTGCTCTGGGAACAGGATCTCGTTTAGGATGACTGCCCCCGGGGTCCGGGGATGATTTGTTTCCTAGATTTAGTGAGCCAATTCTGTGACAAGCGTGTGGGTGCCCCTAACATCTGAACTCTGGAGAAGCAGGGGCTGTCTGAGACGCAGCATTCGACGGCCAGGACTCCGGCCCTATGGAGCAGCCCTCCAGCTGAGACAGCGCTGCAGCAGAAGTGGAGGGTCAGCTCTGAGCTTTAATATATTTGAACTTTAACGGGGTAAGAAATTTTGGTTCTGGACTTTAATTCCTTTGAATGTCATCATCTTTAGACCTGAACTTGCAAAGGTTAGCCTTTAAGACTTAATTTCTCCCCACAGACTGGATAACAGAAGGAGATTTATATTCAGATTTGGGCATACTCGTGTTGTTGGAAGTTTATATGCTGTCATTTAACCTCATAGAGGAATTTCTGATGCGCCGGGTCGCACAATATAGCCGGACAGAATTAAGAGTGAGAAATAAAGTAGAGAGTGGTTTTGCAGCCCCAGGTGCAGAGAGGCCTTCCAGATTATTTAATCAGTGACCTATTCTGACAAATTCCAGAGCCATTCAACTGGACTGCGGATGTCCTCCACGCCGGGGGTGACGCGCTGGCTGAGCAGGGCCTCGTGGTCATTCATGACAGACAGGCCTGGGTATGCTCAGAGTGCGGGGCCAGCTGTTGCCTCTCCCAGACCCTCTCTGTCCCCAGAAATATTCACCCCAACAAGGCAACTTATGCATTGCTAAGCCTGAGGGATAACTGGGCTGTGGGCTCAGCCCCCTGCCACCTTTAGAGCCGCCCAAGGCTCCCGTGCGGTGAGGACGGCTGTCACGGTGGGCGAGCCTGAACAGTCCCGGAGTCAGCCAGCCGGTTTATGGGGCTCTCACACTAAGAAAGGATTCCAAGCCTCTCATTTAGCAGAAATAAAAGTTATTCTTTGGCTTCCATCTGCCACCATTTTGTTTTATTTCTCAATTTGTTCAAAACCAAGGTAGAGAAGATGAGTTCTCAGAAATCCAAACGATGAGAAAAGAATGACACCTGAGAGCCCATTAAAAAAAAAATCCGTATTTTGCAAAGACCTGCAGAGACTGGCGGGCACAGCCCTGTGTGCTGGCTGCGGGCAGAGGACAGGGAAGACCAGGCTCAGCCGGGCTGCGACAGCAACAAAGAGACTGAACCACGGAGGACGAGAGCCGCCACAGCTGAGGCACAGAGGAGGCGGCCGGATGGACCCCCAGTCTGGAGCAGTGGGTCCGGGCTGCAGCAGGCCCTGCTCGGTGGCCAGAAAGCCTTCAGAGGGCCCTCCAAGGACACAGAGGCCACAGCTGAGGAATCAGAGCCAAACAAACAGCTGGGGAGGTGTGAGGAGAAAAAAGTTCTGTGGCCCCAGCAACGGCCTTTCCTCAGAAGGCACTGGCCATGTCAGCCCTCCCAGGTGCCTACTGCTGCCCACCCAGGGGCTTCCCAACACCTCTGAGCAGACCACAGGTTCTCACCCCAGGATACCCCAGCCAGCACCCCTTCTAGACGCCTGAACACACCCTGCACTGCAAACGCCCGACTCAGAAGCCGTGGGCTGCATGAATATGTGAATGGGCAGAAAAACAGGAATTAAGCAAGCATAACGTGGACTCAAAAAATATTAATAGTAATAATATTAACATTATTCCCTTCATAAAAAGTAAACGTGTATTCTTTCTAATTGGGATTTTTATTTTTTGTCTTTAAAAAAGGATATAATTCACAAAACTTATGGGTCAGAGGGAAGAAAAGGAAGGTCTGAGGAACACAACGACCTTTTATGAAACATTTTACAGACCATAAAGTTGGTATTAGTAGGAAAAAAATCAAAGAAAGCACGCTCAGCGTGCCTCACATCTGTCGCCATTCCAACACCAACCCCCGGCAAGAGCACAGGACGCTGCCTGTGCTCTTCAGTGAAAAAGCAGAATAATCACCTGAAAGAGCATTTTAGGGAAGAGTGAAATATAAATTCCTGTCGGCTCAGCTGGACAGACCCAGGGACCCTCTTACCACGCCTGCAGCCCAGGGAGAACTAAGAACCCCTCCTACATCTCTGACGAACGGCCCTTGCAACTGGACCAGGGACCCGCCTCCCAGAGTCCAGCATCCCCTTTCTAGGACAGCCTCCCTCTAATCAAGTTTCTCTCCCATGCTGAAACCAAGCCTGCCCTCCTCACCCAGGCCTACACCTGCCTCTGAAACAGCTCAGAAAGTCCTTTCTGCAGACAATGG